CAGTGCAAAACCTAGTGTCTGTCCCCTTTTATCTAAATTTCTATTATTAGAGAGAGACCTTTTTTTAGTTGCATATTATCAGCAACTCTGAATACTGCAGAGAACTATTCAGCTTGGTAACATCCAGAGTCAAGTTGTTTATTTAATATAGCAAAATCAAAGACGTACTGTCCGTCAGTTTTATTTTCTGGTTTTAGAGCTTAGTGTTCATAATAGGCATGGGGAAAACTAAGCAGCATGTTCCAGCCTGTAACATCATCAAGTTTAACCATTCTTTTATCGCCATCTAGTGGTGAATGTTCATTTTAAAGACTTGGCTTGAGTACTGTAATCTTAAAGAACAGACTACAATATCATAAAATATAAAGAACATTGCTGATTTTTTTTTTTTTGCTTATTTATAGTAGTATTTAACTTTCAATCTTTTTTTCAATAATGAATCAAGATCAAATAAATATACATTGCCCTGAAAAGTATTTGTTGACATTTTTGCCCAAGCACGTACAGTCATCATGTTTCCAAACAGCTCCAACTCTCTCTGCTCCGCTTCCCTGATCTTTCTGTCCAGTACAAGATCACAAAGGGCAAAGCAGTCTCCAACAACTGTTCATCTACTAGCTTGCGGAAGGGGAGGAGCAGGACACTGTAAGGGGAATCTCTTGCCTTGCTGTGTATTTGGAGACACAGCTTACTAGCACACATTAGGATGGCTCAATAGGATATAATAGGGAAATGAGCCACCCTTATCCGGGCCAGTGCTCAGGGGACCAGCTTTTTCTGCAGGAAACTAAAATTTTTACATCAAGAAGGAGCATCCATTGCAAGTGATTTAATCAGCATTTGAATTAGCGTACAAACTTTTAGATTTTAATATCACTTTAAAGGAGAACTATGAGGTGAGTGCTTTTCACTCACCTCATAGTTCTAGCCGACCTGTGACAATGAGACTGTCACAGGTCGGCTCAGTAGATCGGGAGGTGAGCGAACACATACCGGGTTCGCTCACCTCTCGATCCTGTCACAGCTCTCTGCCGTGACAGGAGGGGGGGCTGGATTCAGGGCTGGACAGAGCCAGCTGTCACTCACACAGCTGGACAGAGCCAGCTGTCACTCACACAGCTGGGCGGATCCCGTCGTCTAAGTCGGGATCCGCTCCGGCGTCTCAGTATACCGCGAGCTACAGCTCGCGGTATACTGAGCTTAGGGTAACGGGAGGACGCTAGTTTGTGTCCTCCCGTTACCCTAAGGAGAACTATGGGGAAAAACACTGACCCCATAGTTCTCCTTTTAAGCTAATATGGTTTGCTTCAGATGTCCTGAGCATCCAAACAGCATTTGAAAGGTATCTTAGTATTCTGACACATGTATATTCTGCATGCAATGTCTGCTTGGATAAACAACTGTTGCTGTTTGTTTGTTTGCTTTTAAAACCTAGACTTATAACACATACGTTTTTCTTTTGTATAACATATGCATAGTGGCCAGATATCAATGTTTACTGGTCTGGCCAATGTTAATTGCTGGAAGCAGATACCCATGTGTACTGTACTGCTATATGTGAACAGCCGAGTGAAACATGCATAAACACGTAGAATTAGTCTTTTACAAAAATGACGGCAATTAAGTAGAACTCCAGCCAGAACATTTTTTTTTAGCTTTGAATAGAATAATGAGGGTTTACAGCAGTCATTCTCAAACAGCGTTCTGTGGAATTTCTTGAACTGTGGCTGATTGACATCCCATTGAATGTTGTCTGCAGAATTATGAGGCCAATGCCAATGGGTATAGCCAGCTGCTTGACAATGTAAGAGGCATTTTCCCACAAACCCGATTTTTTTTTTTTTTTAGCAGGGTCTCCCAAAAATCTAAAAAAATATTTCAAGGGTTCCTTTGAGACGAAGGTTGCGGTGGACTCATTTGCTCATTTGGAGCCTCATTATAGGCATAGTCCAGCTTTTACAAAAAAATAATAATGCACACACATCAATAAGTATTCAGTATTCTACACTGTTGCTATGGGTTACTACAATTGACCTTTTTCTTGATTTCTAAGTGCAGTCTGTGCAGTCTGTGTATTGGCTTATTGGCACTATATGGTGTTTTACTTTGCCTTCTATAAAAAAACATGGAATTGTTGATATATGCATACATACATGCACACTGTGGGAAGCCTGTCCTAGGTTGGCTTTCCAGGAAAGTTTACTCTAGCGGAGTTCATTTGATGAAGTAATCCTGGTCTGAGTCAAAGACTTCCCAGAATAATATGGCTGGAATGTCCACCCCTTTTCCTCTGCTGAAAACAATCTTAATGTATAGCATCTGTGGGCAGGTAGTGTTAACACTGGATACATTTCAGTTAATGCTCTACCAGCAAACCCATGTGTGCAGGAGACTGTCATCAGCTTCTCATGTGTCAGGTAATGTGCTTTGGGTGATCTCTCGTACCTGGAACGATTGCTTCTTTTAAAGTTACAATTAAAACACTTGTCGGCTGGCGTAGAAAGAGTTAATGTCTAGATAGAGAAAGGTGGACTTATAATGTGTCTGCCTTACCGATCATGTTTGTTTGAAAGTAAAGGTGCCAAAAAAGTGAGTGAAACCACGGGGGCGTAATTTTGTATTTCTGTGGAAAAGTGACGGTGGTTTTGTTGTGTCGTGAGTACAGTTTCATGGTTTATTAACCCCGGACATACCGAGGATAGTGGAACAGACAACCATAGTCAGAATACAGCTTATTACATGAGGAATTGTGCTTTTATCTCCATGAAAATTCCACACCTTTTACTTTTGGCTTTTTGTGAATCTGGCTAGTGATGTACATATGGGAATATAGGGGGTTTTGTGTTTTCATAAAATCTATCCTATCTATCCTATCTATCCTATCTATCCTATCTATCTATCCTATCTATCTATCCTATCTATCTATCCTATCTATCTATCCTATCTATCTATCCTATCTATCTTTTTCTATAATTGTTGTTGTCAATGAAGCTGCCTCCTGAATTCCTTTTTGATTTGTCCACCACTTATTTGTTATTATTTGGAAAACATTAAGGGCTGGTTCATACTATAGCGATGCGAGGGCCCATGCGATCGATTGCATGGGCAGAATTGCGGCGGGAAACCACGCGATCTGCCTGGCGTGACTCGATTGCCATTAGAAAATAATGGCGCGATCAGCGGTGGCGTGCGACTCCGTGACCGCGCGGCCATCCCAGATCACCTCGGTGTGACGCTGGCCTGAAGGCACAGTATCTGTGCGTTTAGGGCATGCTAATGCACAGTGCTCTACATTCTGGGCATGCCAGTGCATTGCCTTGACAGTCATTCTAAATGGCACCACAACGCACCTACCAGAGGTTGTGCTACAATGCAATAATACAATTGCGTTGATATGCATGCATTTTTTTCCACCGCACAGCAGTGCAATGCATGCTTATGTCTGCTGGAAGGTACGCTGGGGGGGCCATTGAGAGCACCTAGCATGGAGTGGCGAGTGCTATGAGATAGAGTGCGCTAAATGCACAGATACTGAGCCTTTAGCACAATGCTATAATGTAAATGTCTCAATCACACTGGATTGTTATACTGATTGTATACAAATAAGTAAAACATGCATACCTTTAAATTTGCCTTACAATTTGGTGGCCGGCCAAATGTGGCCCTTTGATTCTCTTTAAAAAAAAAAGAACACGTGGAACAAAATGCTTAATGTACAAATGGTTTAGGATCTTCAGGGTGCAGTAGGATTCTTGTATCCTATGTTGAAATCAGCCAAACTAGGACCCTTTTAGTAGTTTCTTGTGAAGTACCAGCTGGGTGAAGTATGCCCACAGTAATACCTCTTGAAGTACAATGCAATGGCTTTGGCATATGATCTAAATTACATAGGGGTCTATTCACAAAGCTGCCGAAGGATCTGGCCGTAGCTTCAGCTGATCCTTCGGCTAGCTTTGGCCCCAGGACCCCTTCGGTTCAGGAGAACCGAGGGGGTGCTGTACGGGCTATTCACAATAGCCCGTACAGCTCCCGATCACGGCGGAGCGGCTCAGTCGAGCTAATGTTGGATCGGCTGAGTCGAACTCCTTTTGCACTTCGGGTCAGCCGAACATGCTGAGCATGTTCGGCTGATCCGAAGCCACACGAAGCAAGCCGATGTACGGGTGATTTCAGCCGATGTACGGCTGAAATCAGCCGTACCAGCCTGAAGTGAATAGCCGAACAGTGTTCGGCTCACTTCACTTCTGATCGGTCATTCACTCGGCTACCCTCGGCAGCTTTGTGAATAGACCCCCATAGTTACATAGTCAGGTTGAAAAAAGACACAAGTCCATCTAGTTCAACCTATAGAGATATATATTTGCAACAGCATTTTTGTAACTCTTCATGAAAACCAGCCAGGGAGCCTTGCATCAGTCTCAGAATTCAGTTGAAAATACATTTTTCTTGCAAGCATCCTTCTTTGGCCATTTGGGTTGTGAGGTAAGTGAAGGTGTGTGTGCAGGAAAAGGAAGAAACCACAGTATGGGGAAATGCTAACTTTCAAAGTTCCAAAGAAGAGGAAGATTAACGACTCACACCTCCTGCTTTAAGTCACATTGTTGTGTTAACCCATATAGGATAAATAAGGTTAACCTCTTCTGCTTAGACCATGGATTAATCTTGAGATTGCTGCGTAGGTTGCAATCTACAGTTTGTTTCTTCTTTAGGGTTTCAATGTTGTTCTGAACAGTAAGTAGCCTCCATGTATAGAATGTGACAATGGTATCCCTAATTCCACAAGACTGTGTGTATCTATCTATCTATCTATCTATCTATCTATCTATCTATCTATCGCAGGTTTTCAATTGCATAGAAGATTTAGACACCTCTTTTGAAGGACCATTTGAGGCTCTCTAGGCCTACAACTACTAGAAATGTTTTGCTTTTTTGTCAAGTATTTGTCCTTTTTTTTTCTTTTCTTCTAGCATACTGAATATTGTTTTTTGTTCTTTTTTTAGCCATCAAAGAGAAATTTGAATTGTGAAGTGAGATTTGGGGTAAGTGTCTGTTTTTGTCTTTTTATTTCTAAGCAGTGGGAGTTGCACCTGCACGTTGCATCACTTTCATAACTGCTGGAGATTCACTGATCCACAAATAACACAAACCGCTAAAAGTGGAAGTTGAAACTTGTTTGCGATGTAACACAAGTGCCAAAGCATTCTCCTAAGTGCCTAAACTTGAAAAGGATTCCAGGTATTATCTTTTCTGCACTTAACTATTTTTTTCGAATGTCTTAGGATTGGGGCAAAATGACATCGGCAACTGACAGCTGTATTCAGTTCACTCGACATGCCAGTGACGTTCTCCTGAATCTGAACCGTCTCCGAAGTAGGGACATTCTGACAGATGTGATAATTGTTGTGAACAGGGAGCACTTTCGAGCCCACAAGACAGTCCTCATGGCTTGCAGGTAAGAATGGAGCTTGTCAGTTTTTCAGCATGGCAGTTATTGGGTTTGAAGCAGCATGTTTTTTTGACCTACTGTTTATTTTCCTGTTGTATTTATTTATATAGTGCAGATTGACAGCACAGTGAGTCAGTGGTAAGCACTTAATTTGTTCCTGTTTAAATTGGCCCTAGTATGTGTACAAATTGGCTATGCACATGTGTTATCACATTCTGCAGCCAGTCCCAAGCCTGTGTAAATGGAGAGGATTGAGGAAAGACCTGGTGACCTACCATGTTAACAAAAAACAGAAAATTTCTATGGTAAAGGGTCTTGAGCAAATCAGACCTAGTATCCAGACAGCTGGCCCAAACAATTGCTAAGCTTTGGATACGACGAAACAAATATCACACACAAAGTGCAGACACTTTTCCAGAATGCTTAACAGAAAGCCATTCACTCAAAGGACCTTAAAATCTAATAAACCTACCACAGTCCCCTATACTATAGAGTCAGGTCAGGTGAAAGCCAATTGGTCTGCTACCGTAGTATGTTTCTGATCTATGGGAGTAAAGGCTGGCAGAGCATTGCATCAATATAAACTGCAAAAAGCATATGTGGTGGGATAATACAAATTTTGAACTGACCTTTTGTTCAACTCTTAAAAAAAAGAAAAAAATATGCAATACCCTTTGATGTCATTAACCTCCTGACCCCGTACACAGCTATTCAGCACAGAAAGGAGACTACAGAAAAAAGAAAAAAATGCATAGGATGCCTTGAACTTTTATGCTGTTTTCCCATGTGTCTTCATAGCAGTGCAGGAAAAAGAAGCAAAGCAGGGCAAATGTGTAAACTGCATACGTTGTATTCGAAAATGCAGATCTCAAAACTGTTATTTTTTTTTACAGTGGGCTGTTTTATACAATCTTCACTGACCAGATGAAGTGCAACATGAACATCATAAACCTTGATCCAGAAATCAGCGCAGAGGGGTTTCGAGTCCTGCTGGAGTTTATGTACACTTCTCGGCTTAGTTTGAGAGAGAGCAGCATCATGGCAGTTATGAGCACTGCACTTTACCTACAAATGGAACATGTTGTAGACACCTGTCAAAGGTTCCTCAAGTCCAGGTATTTTTTTTCTTTCATTTTACTGATTTTGCGTTTTCTTTTTGTTCTTTCCTGAACTGTTTTTTTAAATGTGTCAGTCCACCCAAACTGATATATCTGATTTGTTTGTTAGACCTTTTAGTCTCTTAAATCACTTAACTGCTTCTTATGTGTCTCGGGGACCATGGTCAGGAGGTCTGCCCTTGATTTCCCAGATCTGTAGATCTATGTGGGAATTTTTATTGGGTAGAATACAAGAAGCGGCATGGGAATGTTGCTGTTGAAGCATAAGGAGTAGGACTCCAAGGTGGGCTGGTGTGTATTTGGAAGTTATGGTAGAGGGCTTTCACTACTGATATAAAAAGCTAGTGACCAATACAACCCACCAGACTCTGCTTGTAAATGAAGGCTCTTTTGGATGGACTGACCCTTTAAGGTACAAGAAAGCTAATTATTGTCTTATGCAGTTCTGTGAAAGTTAAAGGTCTTGTGTGTTTTTGACAGTGAGGATATTGTGAGTTCTGTGAAGCCATCCAGAGAAGATTTCTTGCAAGGCAGAACGATGTTGCCTCCAGATGTTATGGCCTACAGAAACTGTGAGATGCCAGAAAATACTGTATCTGTTCGTAACACGGCCATCTGTGATGGAAGGTCCTACATTCCCAACATTTACAGTGGATCTCCATCCTCCTACCCTCTATATAGTCACATTCCAGTGCACGGGTTCCTATTTCCAGAGGATGAGGCAAGAGATGTGCAAATGGCTGAAATGCAGAGAACCAGCAGGTATCCCAAAGAAAGTGTGTTACCTGGAGAAAATTCAAGGACTGTACTAGGAGAACACAGGAAAGGTGTCTTGGATATATCTGTAAATATGTGCCACAATGTCTACTCTCCAAAGGAGGCAGCATTAGAAGACGCTCATAGTGACTCTCACTATAATGTCCTGGCAGCCTCTCGGTCTGCTGGTCCCTCTGTTAGAAGCAGTCCATACTACAGCTGTGACAAAGGGAAAGATGAAGAGCGGACATTCTCAGAGGATGAAATCACTCAGCACTTTAAACCAACAAACTCTCCTGGCAGTCGTAAGGGTCTTGTAAGTCCTCAAAGCCCTCAGAAGTCAGATTGCCAGCCTAATTCTCCTACAGAATCCAGCAGCAGTAAGAATGCCCGCATTTCACAGGGATCTGGTTCTCCAGTGTCTAAATCAGTCACTGACCCGAAAGCTTGCAACTGGAAAAAATACAAGTTGCTTAATTCCCTCAACCAGAATGAAAAAGAAGGTTGTGCCACTCAAAGTGAAATGGGAAACCTGTCTCCACAGTTCTACACATCTCAATCATCCTATCAGCAGCCAGTCAAGTCTGAAAACCTGGACATTCAGACATCATCTAAGCTTAATGGGAACACTGATGACTCGGCAGTACCGCAGGCTAGCAAACTCAACAGCATTGTTAACAGGTAAGCATGCAGACCTACTTAAAGTGGAACTAAATGCACTTATTTAATGGTTTCCCAAAATGGCTGCATTCAAGGCATGCTTCTGGTAATAACTGTCACAGTTGCTAGTGTGCTTATGTCCGCTTTCAACTGAACTTTAAGGCCTGGTTTACACCTGAACGTTTTGTAGCACGTTCAACGCTCGACGGACGCTCTACAAAACGCTCAAACATCTAAATCCCATTGTATTCAATGGGTCTGGTTCACACCTTGCCGTATTTCCGCCCGTCCAAACGTGATACAAAACGGCCTACGCCCAAAGAAGTACATGTACTTCTTTGGGGCGTTTTGGTTTCGCGTTTCCATTGGGATACAGCCAAGTAGCCCTCGGAAACGGGCGTTTGTTGCGTGTTTTTTTTACAGCGAAACACGCGACAAACGCGCATATTCAATACGCCTAGGTGTGAACCCAGCCTTAAACCCTCAAATTGCTGTTGTCATTGCTGGTCACATGCAGCACCATGGCAACTGCAGCTCTAAATGGATACTAAGTTAGCACCATCTTTGGATGTAAAGGATAGAAGGGTTTAGTTCCGTTTTATCAATACAATGCAAATAATAATGCTGTGCTGAATTTAGGCTTTTACTATTTTAGTGCACTTATAACCATAAACTATCATTTTAATTGGCTACTTTGGGTTAGTTGGCATATTCTTGCAATGCAACCTCAGCTAAAACCGGTTTTTGTTTGATTAGGTTGAGGACAGGATAGAACTTCTGTCATGTTTTTACTGCTTGCTGTGTGCCTGCTGAAGGGTTTTTCCCACCTCCTGCTGTGTGCTTGTTGGGGGGAATTCTCCCACTTCCTGCCCCAAAGCTATCATTCTGGACATGGCAATAGGTTAAATCTCTCTTAAGAGGCATGCTATAGCAATACAAAATGTAATAATGCCTGTGCCCCCAGTAGAGAAAGCCATTCACTTCCTACCTAGTGACAATGTTGTCACGGAGATGGGAAAGGAAGGGAAAATATCCAAAAGGTCACAGAAAGCAATACAAAGTCTTGTAACCCTTCCTTATCTACCCATTCTGTAAAACTGTTTTGGCTGGAGTTAGCCTTCAAAAGTTTACTTGGTAGGAAATACCGCTGTATATTCAGCCTATAAACCTGTTTTATGACTTGTTTTCACAGGGCAATGGAAGGGTCACCCCTAAGCAGTGAAGGCCATTCCCCTCTCTACATCCACACATCTAAGTTCAGCATGTTTTCATCACAGTCCCCTCCTGAAATGTGTCCTCACACCCCTGGCTCTAACTTCGGAGAAGAGATTGCTGAGACTCGGTCGGAATATTCAGATTCAAGCTGTGGTAAGTGTTTGAACAATTAAATTATTTAATATTAAAGTGTAAAAAGGGTACTTCTTGTAAGAGTACTTTCATTGTCTCCATTTACACTTAATATACAAAAATGTAACCCAAACCCAGCTTGTCC